AAAACAGAATATTCTGTAAGAACTTAAAAAAATATATGTAATTAATATAATTAATTATTCATTTTATTATTATTTATGATGTTTAATAGAATTTGCAAATAATAATTTCAGTGTGTTTTGTATACCCTTTATATGAATATTTGAATTTAGAAATGATTTCTTTAAATGAAAATTTCAAGAATTTTATATTTTAAATAAGAAAAGAATTTTTTCTTCGCAGCAATAAATCATTTGTTAAAATAATATACGAATTGATTTATTGCCGTCAGTTATGGTTTGACTGATTTAAATACAAAGCTTTAATATAATATTATAAAGTGTGGATCAATACAATGGTATTCATTGGCGCCCAAAGTATATGATTAGAGATCGTTATTGAAAGCAATTTGATTAACAAATTATTTAATATAACAAAAATTTGATGTATTTTGCTTTAAACTGTTATCGCAATTGGTTTATGGCAATGATTTTTCAATTTTATATAATAAAAATATTGTTATAAAATAATAATATTGAGATAATAAATATTTTACAAATTATTTTGCAAAATATATTAATACTGAACAATATATTTAACCATTAAATGAATGATAAGTAGTATTAGTGTTAATCCATTGCTGGTATTCAGTGATTGTTCAATAATTTAATTTAATAAATAGACGCTTACATTAAGAATTCAAAATTGATTAAAACAAACACAAAGTGTTTGCCATTCAATCTTTCGAGTCATTTATGGTTTTGTAATTTTAAAATGAGACCTAAAATTGTTTGCATTATTTATAAAACAAATATTTAATTAAATTATGAAAAGAGTGAAATTTTTCAGACATTACTTTTCGTAAAGAAAATTTATGTCGAGTCAAGCAAATTGTGTTAGATTTAAATAAATGGCGTTTTTTGTGAGTTTAATAATTAATTAATTTTTTTGTTTTAAACTACAAATTATAAATCGATACCATTTTTGTAAACATCAGATTTTTGGTACAATAATTCATTTATTTTTACAAATGAGTAATTTTTGGTAGAAATATATATACTGTATATTATTTCTTGTATTGATTTTGAGGCTAAAGACAACTTTTCTTGTCTGAAATGTAACACAACAACAAAATGTATTGAATTATTAATAAAATCGTTTCAACAAATCTGTGACTTTAAAAATACTTTTTTATTGCATTTTCTCTTAATATTTAATCACAATTTTGATTATGATTTACAAGTGTTCATAAAAATGGGAAAATCTAAAAATATTTGTTAAATAGATGTAAAATAGTTTTTTTTTAAAGTTTATTAAAGATATCAAAGAAATTTAATATCGTATAAAATATTGAGACATCATTTTAGTAACTTTTAAAAGTATTATTAATAATATTATATAAATATTTCTTACATTTAATAAATATAAAGTAATGCAAAGCAAAGAAAGTATAAGAATATTATCATAACTTAATATTATAAGTAAGAAACATTAAGAGCCATAACTATATAATCGGTTTCTCTTTGGATTTATGTTATATTTGTCTCCAAAATTGTAATTATTTTTCCTTAATATCCGCAAAAACTTTTCAAAGTCTGTTTCGTAATCCAAACCTTTATCATGAAATCGGTTCGGTTTGGCGACGACTGGACTCTGATATGTCATGTGTTTGTCTACAATATTTTCGCTTACAATATCATTAATTTAATAAGTTATTCAACTAATTATGATCTGTTGCACAAAAATGCATATTATTTATATGAAGATTAATATACTTTGAATTTATAGAATTATAAACGTATAAAAATAATAACAACATATTTGTATTATAATAACATTGTTATTATCATTATTAAGGCCTCAATTCCACAAAACAGAATATTCTGTAAGAACTTAAAAAAATATATGTAATTAATATAATTAATTATTCATTTCATTATTATTTATGATGTTTAATAGAATTTGCAAATAATAATTTCAGTGTGTTTTATATACCCTTTATATGAATATTTGAATTTAGAAATGATTTCTTTAAATGAAAATTTCAAGAATTTTATATTTTAAATCAGAAAAGAATTTTTTCTTCGCAGCAATAAATCATTTGTTAAAATAATATACGAATTGATTTATTGCCGTCTGTTATGGTTTGACTGATTTAAATACAAAGCTTTAATATAATATTATAAAGTGTGGATCAATACAATGGTATTCATTGGCGCCCAAAGTATATGATTAGAGATCGTTATTGAAAGCAATTTAATAAACAAATTATTTAATATAACAAAAATTTAATGTCTTTTGCTTTAAACTGTTATCGCAATTGGTTTATGGCAATGATATTTCAATTTTAGATAATAAAAATATTGTTATAAAATAATAATATTGGGATAATAAATATTTTATAAATTATTTTGCAAAATATATTGTACAATATATTTAACCATTAAATGAATGATAAGTAGTATTAGTGTTAATCTATTGCTGGTATTCAGTGATTGTTCAATAATTTAATTTAATAAATAGACGCTTACATTAAGAATTCAAAATTGATTAAAACAAACACAAAGTGTTTGCCATTCAATCTTTCAAGTCATTTATGGTTTTGTAATTTTAAAATGAGACCTAAAATTGTTTGCATTATTTATAAAACAAATATTTAATTAAATTATGAAAAGAGTGAAATTTTTCAGACATTACTTTTCGTAAAGAAAATTTATGTCGAGTCAAGCAAATTGTGTTAGATTTAAATAAATGGCGTTTTTGTGAGTTTAATAATTAATTAATTTTTTGTTTTAAACTACAAATTAGAAATCGATACCATTTTTGTAAACATTAGATTTTTTGTGCAATAATTCATTTATTTTTACAAATGAGTAATTTTTGGTAGAAATACAGTATATATACTGTATATTATTTCTTGTATTGATTTTGAGGCTAAAGACAACTTTTCTTGTCTGAAATGTAACACAACAACTAAATGTATTGAATTATTAATAAAATCGTTTCAACAAATCTGTGACTTTAGAAATACTTTTTTATTGCATTTTCTCTTAATATTTAATCACAATTTTGATTATGATTTACAAGTGTTCATAAAAATGGGAAAATCTAAAAATATTTGTTAAATAGAAGTAAAATAGTTTTAAAGTTTATCAAAGAAATTTAATATCGTATAAAATATTGAGACATCATTTTAATAACTTTTAAAAGTATTATTAATAATATTATATAAATATTTCTTACATTTAATAAATATAAAGTAATGCAAACCAACGAAAGTATAAGAATATTATCATAACTTAATATTATAAGTAATAAACATTAAGAGCCATAACTATATAATCGGTTTCTCTTTGGATTTATGTTATATTTGTCTCCAAAATTGTAATTATTTTTCCTTAATATCCGCAAAAACTTTTCAAAGTCTGTTTCGTAATCCAAACCTTTATCATGAAATCGGTTCGGTTTGGCGACGACTGGACTCTGATATGTCTGGACGCCGACCAGTGATGGCTTCACATCAACTAAACGCTCAAATTTAGGTCCCTTTCCATCAGCTCTTGAATTGTAATGGTTTTGATATAAAGAAAGTCTATTATTGCGGTTAGAATTGGACTCATAATTGTCTTCAGTATTAATAAGAGTGAAGTCGTACGCATGGCTTCTCCTCTTTTGGCTGAAGACATTTGTGGCAAATATAGTGATAAGTATTATGCAAACAAATATCGCAACACTTTCTCTATTCATAGCCAATATATTTGTAGATTACTATTGAATTGTATATAAAGATGTATTTGAGTTGAATTCACATCAAAATTCCAACTATTCTTCGTCTCAAAGACCGCAAAACTTCTTCAGTCGTGTAATGAAAGTAAATGTTTTATCGATTCGATTAGACTTTAACTAAAAGTTTTATCATATAATTTAAAAACTGAGGGAATAGTTCGTAATCTATATATTATTTGATATTATTTGCTCTCAATATATATACCAAAAACTCTAAATAAAGTGAGAACTGGTATGAGAACTGATGGTAAGGGATGATCACTACTATACTAACTGAACAAAAAAGTATAAAAATGACTTTTAGCACAAAAACATACCATTATATGGTATATCCTTTGTCATCACTTTCCTTATTATTCAATTGCGGAATATATTTAATGGCAAAAAAAGAAATGCACGAAATATATCACTGAAATAACTCACAAACGCTTATCAAATGTAATGCAATTCGTGGCCAAAAAAAAGGAGAATATAATTCTCGGAGTATTTTATTTTTGTCAAGAGATGCCATCGAATCCCAATTGAATCCATTGATTATTGGATTGTATTTCATATCACAATTCAATTCATTTTTCATCCAATTTCACAAACATTATTAATATATAAATATATTTTTCAAATTTAATATTATTTCTATTGAATTCATACGTTTTCCTCACATTTTTCATCCGTTTGTTGACTGAAAATATCAATGAACTCGTAGTGAACGACAGGAAGTGAACACTTGTATTCATTTTCAATATATCTTATATTTTTGTTTGTAAAATATTTTTTCAATTTTTCTGGAAATGTATACAACATTAAAATGTAATGAAATAAAGCGAAAGAGATTCTGTTATTCTCACATACAATTCAAAAGTTTTCATTTTCTCTCCTTTTATATAAAATTCTGTATTTTTTAGGTTTATTTCCAATGATGTGAGTCGTGAAAAAAGGCCACAAAAAACTACTTCCACTGCAATGTCTGGCGAATTGGGTTTTTTGACTTTTCAAATGGATTTGCGATTCAGAAAATACTTTTGACTTTTCAAAGGAAATGAAACACAAATAAAACAGATTTACAAAAATAAAAGTCTATCACAAAGAGAGGAGTCTATCTCATCAAACGGATTGACTCATGAATTAATTATTATATCCATCGGAGACTTACTCTATTGTAATACATAGAAGAAAAAACATTGGATTCAAAAAACAACACGACTTTCCTTTAAATTGAATTTAATTAACATTTTTTTGGTAAAATAAATGAACATATTTTGGGCGAACGTTTATTCAATTAACAAATTTGATTGTAAAGTAATCCATACGCTCTGTGTATAAGTCTCAGTGAATCATAAGAGTGTTGTTTTAATCAAATAGAAAAATATATATTGATTACAAATAATTAATTATATAATAAAAGAAAGCGAACTAAAAAAGCAAATAATCGATTATTTTAATGAGAAATGTTTAAGTGTTCGTAAACGGCTTGAATGAAGAAGGAGGTCCTCTCCTTATGTTCCACTTTCAGACATCTGACGATATCATTAAAAGGCGGCAGTTTTACATCGTCTGAAACATTGCCTATAAATATATAAAAGAATCAAATATTGCAAACAATCTATAAATAATCGATGATTAGGACTCAACAGCAAATTATTTTCTATTGTTTCAACAAATAAATAATGAGTAAATATTATACAATTAATTAAATTATCACATGTTGAATAAAAAAAGCTATAAGTTTACCAAAAGCTTGTGAATAATTTATACCTTCAATTAAATACTGTTCAATGATTTGGTAGAATAGCGTATTCTTTACGGCTTCTAATGGTTTGTCTGAATCTAAATGTTCCCAACTTTTGAATAAAAAAAAGACAAAAAACAAATAAATAAACGGAGAGTTTCCAGAATTGGAGCAAATGATGACATTTATAGCAAACCTGTCTCTACTGATTGCAGTGCACAGAATGTTTGTAACCATTTCTCTGCTTTCATTGGTATCGGCGATGAATTCGGTTAAGTCTAAGGCTCTCTTCAAATTGATTGCATCGGACTCTGGATTGGTTTCACTCATATAGAGTTGGATAAGTTTTTGTGCCGACAATACGGGCATTGAATTAAAATCCAAATTAGATTTGACCATAATTTCAGGCGATAGGCTTTCCTGGTATAGAATGAGCTCCAGTTGAGAGTCGATGTCAGAGGGAGGGGAGTGTCCGGCAGCCAGTGCTGACAGTTTACTCAAACTTAACAGTGTTTTCTTACGGCTCAAGTGATTGTGTTCTTGATTTGCAAGTATATTGAGTGTGTTGGAGGCCGGCATGAACTGATCCAAATGGATTTGATGCAACCAATTCAGCTGCTGGTGATTCTCAAGAAAGTTGGTCAGTGTGTTGAGACTCGCACTCATTGTTAACATCTTTCCCTGTTTTCCTTCTTTTAGATACCATTTGAATAAATATTCAGTGAATCCTTTGTTAGCGAAGTCAGCGATATATCGACGAAGTCTTTCGCTGTCATTCAATTGTTCGCATATCTGTATGAGAGCGTCGAAGTGGTCGTACTTTTCTGCCAGCGCTGCCGCCCTATCGTACTGTTTGGCTCTCAGTAAGGGCTCAATGCATTTGCTTCGACACGACTCAAAGTTTCTCTCAATCGCCTGATATCTGTCTCTATTGTCAATGGATCTCATTTGACAAACAAAGCCGTCAAGTATTATATCCGACAAATCAACCATTTTCTGACAAATAGCGCCTTTCAATTGAATGTCTTCGTCAATGGCCGTCAAATTTGTCGATTCAATGCCATAGTTAACCAAAAAGTCAAATTGTTTCAATAGAGAGGCTCTCATTCCGTTCAAACCCACAGATGATGTCCAGGGATTGTATTCACACTTTGAAAGGGCAGACCATTCGTATAATGATCCCTGGGTTTGACGGAAATGACAGACCTCTTGCAATACAGTAATAAATATATTACTGACTGAAAGGAGACAATTAAGTAAATCTCGAGAAGAAACGGCATTTGTGTCGATCTGTTGGGTTTCGTATTCAATGAGAGCAGTAATAAGTTCTTCGATTCGAGTGGTTTGCCTATAGAACATGTCTTGTGGTGTGAGCCGTGTCTGTAAAGTGACATTCCTTTGTAATAATACTATTTTGATAGCCGTTTCCAATATGTTGTTGTAATCGTTATGAAGTCTCCTGAGAGCGAGACATGCAATCAGTTTCTCTATGTGTTCGCTGAGAATCATTTTCGTTTGAACAGCGGTTGAGCCCTTCGCTGTTGACTGAGTCACTGTTGACAGTCGTTCCCATAGACCGCATGTTTTTAAGAATTCAATAAGCATTCTGTGATTGTTTAGCTTCTCTTCAATTTGATTGGCAATAATGACAGAAGCGGTCAGACTTGCGATGTTAGGGGTGTTGTGAGTGCCGGCAGATTCGGCCCAACGCGGGTCCGAATGCGGGATTTCGTCGCATAGGTTAGCGCTGAGCGAGACTACAATGTCGTCAATCTTTTCGCTGTCGACGGCAGCCGTGATGGTAGGGAAGAGCTCTCTCACTAAGTATTGACTTCGCGCCTATAAATACGTTCAATTAATGGATTGCTTTAATCGCAATATTTCTAAGACAACGACTCACTCGATCTCCTTTCGAGAACAATACAAAAGCTTTTTTAAAAGCTTTTAGTTTATCGTCGGTTTGGAGAATATCCTCATCAATAGTCTGAACATCCATTATATCACTGAAAGGTATGGTTTTGGTATCATATCATATATCGACATAAGAAATACAATTCATTTCGTGTTATATTATATAAGAATAGATAAGTGATAGTCAATGAGCGAACGCTGCGAACCATACCTTATATCTTGTTTGTGAGGAATAATCGATATGAGAGCGTCTTTATGTGTGAATAGTAGGGGAAATCCATCACAAATACCAGCGCCAAGTATACCATCGTCTCGAGAATTGAAATCAATTAAATCGATTTCATCGCTTCCGACTGTTTCACAAGTTTTTCATACATTATATAAATATGTATTAAAAATGTTTTAAAATAAGAAAATAAACAAATTGTAAATCATTGAAAGTGAAGGCAAAATGAGCTTATTTTACATTTAAGGCACAAAACTTGTGACGTGTTGTAGATGTAAACCATTTGGCTATTGATAGTTCCGGAAAGTAAGTGTAGATTAAGAAGCTGTTCCTCGTCCTCCTCGGTATAGCAGACGGTGTGGTTTCGCAATACAGTGAATGAGTTGAACGATATGTTGGCCTCAGGTCTGGCCTGAAGGTCGCTAAACGTGAGGACAGCGTAATAAAGTTGGTTCGAGACGTCGACGTTAAGTCCGGCCACTAATAAAACCATTTCATTAGTCTTAGTAAAGCCAATGTCAATGAGCCATATCTTCAATTGGTTTGGATGAGTGGTCTCTCGATTCTTATAAACAAATAATTACACCGAAATAATGTGAGCCAAATGTAAGCGCAATACTAATGGCAAATGCATTCATATTATACCCAAACTTTGTCGAGAAAGGCGTCTTTGACGGGTCTCTCCAAATCCATGTCTTCAATTAGCTTTGAATAAATCAAACACTCATTCATTAGTGATTTGCGGTTATGTAAGGCATTGAATACATTACTCGTTCAGAGTGTTCATCAATTATTAGCCACTTTTGAGCGGAAACACTCGAGAGAACCCATATATAGACCTCATCCGAAACATTTGATGAATTACTTCGAACCACTTTAAACAACTGTTTCGTCTCCGATGACTGAGTGGCAGGCATTGAGCCAAACAATAGGGATGTGACTCTGCGGCCAAAGCCAGCCAACACTCCTTGCGGTGCTTTCAGAGTACGGCAAACGATCGTGTTTTGGCCCTCAATGTTATTCACGGTTATGTGCACTAAAGAGCTCGTTGTCGTCCCTAATATACAGCCAAAAGGCTGGATATCTGTAAGCGAAGCACATTCCTGGCCCTGAAGATCGCTCGCAATCGTCTCTATTGAGTGCCCTTCATATGCAATGTTTGGCCAAAACCTAACAATTCCTTCGGGAGTGACGGCTATTGTCGAGGGAACTGCTTGTGATTTTTGGCTATTGTCTAAAACGCAAACGAGATCTGCTTTATGTGACAAATCACTCGGTGGTAATTGGAGTTCATAACAACAACAGCTTCGGCCCAAATCTGTTTGTTTATACTTCCAGACAAAGAGTCGGCGCCCGCAGACAAGCCATGCCCACCCCTGAGGAGACATCTTCACGCTCAGGGATCCCAACGAAAACACTAACAAATCAAATAAATACCATTCATTAATACACGCTTTCGCTGCAAAAAAATATATCAACAATTTTTGCCCAAATTCTTTGTATCCGTTTATGTAAATAAATGTTTACATTATATGTATGTATGAAAACATTTTCCTCCACAGAGAAACTCAATTAACTTCAAGTTATTCTCTGAGATATTCATGAATTCTGATCCAAAGGCTTTAGTTTTAGTGGTTAACTATTCTTTAGCCGCGTTTTGTAAGCATAACAAAAATCAATTCACGTATTGTTCGCAACTTTTACTATCTTTATGTTATAAGTTATGACATATTTTGAGAAATTTAGTGAAAAAAATATCAAAATCAATAGAAATTCTTTATTGTTTAACATTAAAGTCTGAATATAAATATTTAGATAAGAAATGTGCAAAAATAAATGTCTTCTACGAGTTGTTGGTATAAGCAATGAAATGAATATTCTTTGAGTATTGGATTCAATGAGTGTTTGTATGGATGGAGAGAATGAAAGGTTCGTAACATTAAAGGGGAAGCCTTTTGTCAATAACTGGGGGAACGATATTAACCTTTTTTGAATTACACACAAATACATGAGTGAAGTTAGGCTTTGAGTTAATGTTCTTATCATAACAAACAGAAAACAACGGCTCATATCTGGAACCAAAACGTGTCAATACTATTACACATACAATACCATAACTTTTTGTACAACCATTAGATCCATGTCTTAAAACAACTGCAGTGAATGCTTTCGCAGCATTTTATGTCTCTTTGCGATTCCTTAACATTCAGTCAAACAAATTAGTGATTACTTTATACTCGTATATAAAATCAATTTACATTTCCCTTCAATTAATTATTGCTTGCGTTGGCTATGAATACAACTTTCGGACAGAATATACGACTAATGTATGCTTTCGATCAAAATTCAAGACATTATAAGTCGTTAACTATGAAGTCGTTATGAGAATAATGGTGTGGATCGTTGACAAAGGAGTTGCGGACCAACACTAGTAATCAAACAACAAAATTGATTGATTTGACTTCAAATGTCATTTAATATATTTTGCCATTATATCAACAAAACAATAAAACCCGAGTAATCAACGCCTTTTCCACTCAATTTATGGCTCACTTTCACCCAATTCTGTTGGCAAACGATAGCCTCACTTCTTCACAGCTATTCTTTACTAAATCATGTTTTGATAAAATAAACAAAATCTAATTTTTTATACAAATAAAACATAAACAAAAGTTGGGCCGATGTTTGTGAGTACGGCGACCGCAACACAACAATAATTGTAATTTATAGCATAAATATTATATAATTTAATCAAATATTTATTATATTAAATGAAGAATTAATGATTCGTTTTGACGGACGACACCTCCATATAAAGCCTTCGGGAGAACTCATATGACGGACACATCAATAATAACAACAGAATATAAAACTAATTCCGGCACACATTTAGGCAAAAATCAATACTCGACTCAATAAATAACTCGATAATAATAAAAAGTGACTTTTCATTCAATTCATTCAATAGGGATTCAAATAATGTTTGACTCTTAAGCGAATGGCGATTACAAAAACATCGAAAGCAATCAATTAATTAGTTTCGTAAGTAAACTAACTTTTTGTCAATTCTGTTATCCATTAAAATCAAGAAAAAAACAGTCACTCGAAAGCAGATGAGAGAGACATTTGAACACATAGTAGAGTTAGGTTTAGGCATAAAATGGAGAGAGAATTATTGCATATTTCATATATTAATCAAATATTTGTTATGAAATAAAGTTATATAATATTAAATCTAAAAGTTTATAACAAAAAAGGAAATGAAAATCTAAATAATGAACGCATGAATGACTATAGATAGTGAAAGAGTGAGACAATCGATTTGAACGATAAGTAGTGTTCAAAACAATGCGTTTGTGATAACACTTTTTTCGGGCTTACTTTCAGCTCACGTCCAATGAAGTGGACATTCAATTAAATTAGTGTTTTGTGTCTTTCACTGCATTTTAATTGCAATGCATTTCTGAATTACTAATTCCGTTAACATTTACAACAAGACTATAATATTATGTGTAATAATGTTAACGCAAAAGACTAGGAATCAAAAGCAAAAACAACTTTTTTCGTAAATGTATTCGCATTTTAATGCATTTCTCGCCGACAGAGATATCTCTTTCAAAATACATTATAATATTCAAAACGCTTTCACATTAGGTTTTAAGAGAAAAGTTAAGTATAAAAATGAGATACAAAAATATTAATGTTTTTTATCTTATAACTCATTGGATCACAAATTTCACCAAAATATATGAATTCTTGACTTAATTTTTCTCAACTTTTTTGATATACGACTTTAAAAAGCAAATCATACCAAAAACGTGAAACATTGCCAACACTTCATCTGATCTCTCATTTCCTTCAAAAACTAAGAATTAGAAACAATTTTATCCACTTTTTTAATCAAAGATAATGCTATCATCTCTTGTGTCCAATCGATATAACGGCACAAAAAACAAAACAATCGTTACATCAGACGACTTATTATGACATTTTGATATACACTATAATATATTGAATCATTGTATCCGCAATTCACTAATGCTTGGATGGGATCACCAAAGGGTAGACACAATCGTCGCTAACAGAGCACAGATCGTGAGCATCGCTTTGTAATCAATCCACGAGCGGCTCCTCGTCTTCTCCTAAACTCTCATTTTCCGATTCAATCCATTTGTTAACTCATTCTCTATTTGTTTCAAATTAATTAATAATTTCTATGTTTGCAAAAAACACTTATCGATCGATATTAACGAATATCTATATCAATGTATTCGGCCCTATATTTATGTCTATATATAAAAAGTGTATTAAATGTATAAAAAGGCTTTTAAAAGGATTATCAAACAATAATAAATAAAGATTCAATAGTAAGCCTTAAGAGCACTCTTAATACATATCAAAAGAGACGACAAATCATAAATAGTATTCACTAAATACACAACAAAGTACTGTTCAATTGGTGACCCTTTTTGAGTCAAACAAAATAAAGACACAAAAATTAAGTAATAAATAATTTTCGGATAAACATTAAAACATTATAAAAACTAAACCAAATAAATGGTTATTTTCGGGAATAAATGTTGCAAACAATGACTTCAAACAAAAACTTTTTGATTAAGTGTTTTATGGGAACAAAAGTTTTCAAACAATAATAATTACATTAAGTATAAGGGATTCAAATTCTAGTGGATTTATGGTTAGGTATTAAAACAAAGACATTTCTCATTAATTTATTCAATCAATTCATTTATTTAACGTTAAATTTTCTAAAACACATCAATTCTGAAGAAACCGCTGTTTGAATACTAGGAGAGAGAGAGAGAGAGAGAGAGAGAGAGAGAGAGAGCCTATATGGTGAAATCAGTGAACAATTTGAAAGGCCTTTTGGCGTGAACAAGGACCTTTTGTCAATAATTAGTTTAAATATTTGATTTATGATTGAAATTCATAAACCAAATATTCAAATGACTGGCAATGCGTTGAGAATAATCAGAAAAAGTAATATATATTGCATTAAGTAATGAATTTTGTCGTCAAATGAGTTGATTAATGAGATGTTTATCTTAAAGAATAAGGAAATCATATAAAATGATTAATTGTTTGGTTTTTAGGTTTGTTTTTGTCAAAAATGTTTTGGAAGGAAACGAGTGAATATTCTCATCACAATAAATATCATCAAAACATTATATAGTTATCAATGATATAGTCATCTATTATTACAGAGAAATTCATAAATAATACATATATTTACTAAATATTACGCAAACAATCAATATTTAAATATAAAACCAATACATCCATCAAATAAATGCTTAAATATTAATCATTCAACCAATTTGTTGATTATATCGATATAAAATGAATGCAAATTCACATTAAATTACATTTAAGCCGTTTTATACAACAATATTAACACAATAAGAGATTATCATTTAAATGGTATACAAGGATTGGGCACAATATCAATGTTCACATTAAACCAATGGTTGTGTTTAAATAAATGAATGAATGGTTCAAAACAATAGTGTGGTTGACATACCATCTGAAGAGATGGCTTCGATGACCAGCACCGGTAGTAGAGATACATAGGGTTTGAGTGTGTGGTAAGCGGTTTGACTGATTAGCACTGATTGACTCAATTGATGGGCAGATGAGTTGAGGGAAGTGTCGCCCAAACTGTAAATTAAATGTAAACAGAGATCAGTTAAATCAATTGCGGACAACAAACAAAACACATGGTAATCAAGAGTTAAGAGCCGGTGCTCCTCTTACGGGCGCTGCGAGTGAACCAACACTTGACAATGCATTACAATTGTGGACACAATTAATGAAATACTCACACATTATATGACTTTAAATATGATTTATTCATCGATTGGTCAAACGATTGGTTGCTTTGACTCCGATTTGTCGCCAATTGATTCAATTGGGAGCGAAAGCTCAGAGAAGTGTCGTAAGGCGTCCGCCCGACCGCTCCTCTCCTACCACTTCCACTGCCCGACCCATACATTATGCAAACCACTCCTCAAATGGCAGACAATTCAATACAATTAACAACAATAAACTTAATTGCAATTAAAACACATGTATTTCAAAGCAAAACATTCAAAATGTGTGACAATTGGTCCCAAAATACCAGATGTCAGCGCTTTTACACTCATATTTCTGTCCGCAAAACACGTGACACAAATACTGCATATTTGAGCCCCCATTCAGTCAATACAATGCTTTGTTTACAGCCCTTTGGTTACGTTATATGTGAATGAATGGGTGTTTGTGTTGAATACAGCATTATTTGGCAACATTTGAAACATTCATCTAATTGTCATTAATTGTGGTAAAAGTGCATTAAATTGAGTGATAATGTCATCGAAGAGAGACGTCGACAATCAGATCACCAAAATTATGGGCACTTATCTCCTGAAGGGATACCGACTTCTGGACAGCCATTGCCCGACGTGTCAAGTATTTGATGCCTTCTTCGCAATGCAAACCAATTTTAACGATAATTTGTTTCGCAATTATAGACACCGTTAATGAAGACGAAGACATCGGATGTGTATTGTATTTATTGTAATGAAGTGAACAAATCAATGGACAGTCAAAGTATGCATTTTTATTTAAAAATTACTAAATATTGGTTTTTTATTAAAAGTGACATTAAATTAAGTTAAATTAATTAATTAATTACTGTTTTACACAATTTTAGACACGAATTCATCGATTGAATCAAACGTTGCAATGATTGAAGACATTAAGGATAATGAGTCTAAGACTTCACGGATGAGTCCCAATGAGATAACTATCGATTCGGTTAAAGTAAATACAGATAATAGTGAAGACATTCAGAGAACTATTTCAATTGTGGGTCAGAAGATGGGTTGGGCCGCAAATCGGCTCAATGTTTGCGATCAGATCAGTGAATGCTTTCAAATACTTAATTTCCTCAATATGAGCGCTGATTTGCTTTTATCTCTAAATAAGTTAAACCGAAATACAGACCAATAAATCATAAATTTGTATCAATTATTTCAAATATTACTATAAGTGAATGCTTTCAAATACTTAATTTCCTCAATATGAGCGCTGATTTGCTTTTATCTCTAAATAAGTTAAACCGAAATACAGACCAATAAATCATAAATTTGTATCAATTATTTCAAATATTACTATCAATTAATAAAAAAAATTATATAAATTTTAAATAAAGTGTTAGAATCGCGAACCCGTCGAAGAGAAACACAGTTTGAATACAAATGGAAACTTTCCGCCTATTTTCAGATGTGGAACAAGAATAAGACATTTGTTAATTAAAGGCATCAATGAAATGATGAAAATGTTATGATTGCTACTGACTTGGGTTGGGAATCGAGACATGATTGCAGAGAACCAACGCCTCCATAGCTTCGGCCACGCTTTCGAATTGGATCAGACCTGAAGAGCTTCGTTCGGCTATTGATTGGTAGACATATGACGAACAATGAGTGGTTAAGAGGCAGATGTGGTTAAGAGGCAGATGTGCTTAAGAGGCAGTGATTGAATGGTGACTTACTTTTGGACTGGAAAAACTTGACAGCACTCGGATAGACAGTAGAGTTGGTTTTGAAGATATTCATGATGTCGTCTTCGGTGACGCCGTGCGGGGCATTGAAAAAGTGCAAGTGAATGCTTTCAAATACTTAATTTCCTCAATATGAGCGCTGATTTGCTTTTATCTCTAAATAAGTTAAACCGAAATACAGACCAATAAATCATAAATTTGTATCAATTATTTCAAATATTACTATTAATTACTAAAAAAATTATATAAATTTATAAATAAAGTGTTAGAATCGCGAACCCGTCGAAGAGAAACACAGTTTGAATACAAATGGAAACTTTCCGCCTATTTTCAGATGTGGAACAAGAATAAGACATTTGTTAATTGAAGGCATGAATGAAATGATGAAAATGTTATGATTGCTACTGACTTGGGTTGGGAATCGAGACATGATTGCAGAGAACCAACGCCTCCATCGCTTCGGCCACGCTTTCGAATTGGATCAGACCTGAAGAGCTTCGTTCGGCTATTGATTGGTAGACATATATGCTTAAGAGGCAGATGTGCTTAAGAGGTGTGATTGAATGGTGACTTACTTTTGGACTGGAAAAACTTGACAGCACTCGGATAGACAGTAGAGTTGGTTTTGAAGATATTCATGATGTCGTCTTCGGTGACGCCGTGCGGGGCATTGAAAAAGTGCAAAACCTTTGCGGGCGGAGAGATTCTGTTTTTGGAGGCGGCCTCGGGGTTAGTGAACCGATTGTTTCTGTTGCCCATAAAGTCTTTGAAGGAGGGCGTCGTGTCGATCAGATCGAAGGGCTGCTGCACGTCGTTGAGGAACGCCTGCTTCGAGTAACTCAATTGCATCTTATGGCCGAAGAACGTCACGTTATTCAGTGCACTCACGCACCGCTCCACCGCCACCGGGTCTCCCATCTGAACCATAGCGCAGCCCTCTTTGCTCTTTAGAAATTTCACCTAAAAAGTGATACAATAATANGGGCTGCTGCACGTCGTTGAGGAACGCCTGCTTCGAGTAACTCAATTGCATCTTATGGCCGAAGAACGTCACGTTATTCAGTGCACTCACGCACCGCTCCACCGCCACCGGGTCTCCCATCTGAACCATAGCGCAGCCCTCTTTGCTCTTTAGAAATTTCACCTAAAAAGTGATACAATAATAACCATTGAGTTATCATTATCTCAAGAATGTGTATCCATTTGTATGTCTCACTCGAACAACATTTCCGAATAAACAAAATAAATTGAAAATTCGTTCGCAATTCATCTTTTCGTGATCTAAGCCGTAGACCATCATAACAGCCCCCTGTTGTGGCGCACCCGCCGGTGGCGGAGGTCCGCCTCCTATTAGTGGAGTGGCGCCGGGCGGCGGCCCATAGCCGGGCGCCGGTGTTGTCGCCAACACTGGCGGTTGACGTCCATCTCGATAGCTATAATGTTGGGTTACATTTGTCGTCAACACAATCATAAATACGGGTCTATATTTACGGATCTGTTTGTTGCATATAAGGGTCACCCATATAGGGTTGGGCGGCCGTTGGAGGGGGTCGGCCGTAGCCGTCGTGATGACCGTAACCGTCGAGGCCGAAGAACGTCACGTTATTCAGTGCACTCACGCACCGCTCCACCGCCACCGGGTCTCCCATCTGAACCATAGCGCAGCCCTCTTTGCTCTTTAGAAATTTCACCTAAAAAGTGATACAATAATAGCCATTGAGTAATCATTATCTCAAGAATGTGTATCCATTTGTATGTCTCACTCGAACAACATTTCCGAATAAACAAAATAAATTGAAAATTCGTTCGCAATTCATCTTTTCGTGATCTAAGCCATAGACCATCATAACAGCCCCCTGTTGTGGCGCACCCGCCGGTGGCGGAGGTCCGCCTCCTATTAGTGGAGTGGCGCCGGGCGGCGGCCCATAGCCGGGCGCCGGTGTTGTGGCCAACACTGGCGGTTGACGTCCATCTCGATAGCTATAATGTTGGGTTACATTTGTGGTCAACACAATCATAAATACGGGTCTATATTTACGGATCTGTTTGTTGCATATAAGGGTCACCCATATAGGGTTGGGCGGCCGTTGGAGGGGGTCGGCCGTAGCCGTCGTGATGACCGTAACCGTCGTGATGGTCGGGTGCATAGCCTCCGGGATGAGGGGCTGTCATTGAACTTTGGCTCCTGGCGTCGGCGCCCATCATATCTGAATTGAGGCATAAAATAAGCCAACATTTGAATGCATTATTGGACTAAAACTATTGAAACAGAAAACATACGATTGGGTTCAGTGAGAAGAGCCGGTCTATCGCACGGTTTACCTAAAAAAAACGAATTCAATTAATTATATGAATGTTATAAATAAAAATAAATATTTCCAAAACTATGTGTACTATTGAGGTATAATATCATTGAGGATGTGTTGCTCAGAGCCATTAGCATCACATTTATCCATCAAATTAACCCCAATTATCAGGTAATACTTAAAAACCAAATCCAATATTAGAGATGCATTTGGAGGTAGAGTTGATGTCCTGATCGATAGCCTGTTTATATTGATTAATACGTTATAACACATCATTTCGTTTCTCTCATGTGTTGCCTAAATATTTCTCTGTATTTTACGTGAATTTGATGTCTTCGGTAGTGATGTTTGTTTTTAAATATTAATGTAATTGTTGTGATAAACAATTGCAATATAATTAGGAGAAAGTCTTGTTGGCATTGAACTCACTATTATCTCCTAATTTTGTCATTATTTTTAAAGATTTTGTTCAAAAATTCTTGTTTTCCGACTCAATATGTGAAATGAATTACTTGACTGTTATTCGTGTTTTGGTTTTCATTGAAATGGATGTGATTTTTGATCTCAAATATATTTATTATTTCGGTTATGATTTGTGTTTTTGAGACAAAAGTTGAGTTTAATTTTATTTCATATTAAATGTCGTTAAATGTTTTCAAAATGAATTTTTGGGTCAGTTTTGGTAATTGTTGGGATATTTTCAGATAATTTGTTCATTTTATTGGTTTTTATTTAATGGTATTTAAAGCTATAGAATAGTAAATAAAATTTAGACATACTGTGGGACTCACCGAGAGTTGGGTTCGTATAGTCATAGCTCTCGTTGTCGTTCTTGTATACATTCAGACGAGTCGGCTATAAATATACATCAATTAGTGTCTATTCACACATCGATCAGTCATTTTAAACTAGATTTACTTTTGCGTATTCAATACGAAGAGTACAACACCCGGAATAAATATCGCATCCATGGAGTGCCTGTTTGGCCCTCTTTGCTGAGTCCACACAATCAAACTCAACCATCGCCTGAACGCCATTCTTCTTGAATATGACGATTCGCAACACTTTCCCACTCGGACTACAGATTTGATTGATTACATCCTAAGGTATATCCAAATATATCATTAGCCGGTGTCCGACACTAGTAAGTGGTAACATGTCTTACGCAAGTGATGGGATACGCGGGGTTTATCACTGTTATGAGCAGCACGTGATTCACTCGATCGTCGTCTCTGTCAACGCAAACACAAAAAACAAATGCAAACTTCAGTCAAACTTTTCAATTACTGTATTTAATATAAATACACATTTCATACATGGTTTTACTATTAGTACAAGTGTTATGCAAGATATTGGGAATTGTATGTGAATTAATGCATTGATGATTGTTAGAAGAGTTGTAAACACCGACTGACACATTGGGACTTAGCATAGAGAGTGAGGGATGGGAGGGTTGGGGTGAATAAACCTTGTAATCAACTTTAAGTTCATTGCAATCGTGTAAACGATATCTTATAAATGCATTCAATTGATGGCTAATGTAAAGCCAACGATTGCTGTCCAATACATTCACTGCCATTTCGGAGATTATGCTTTCATACGATAAATAAACACAATATAACCACTAAATCAACATAAAAATCATATCAAATGAATATATTTTTAAAATTCATGACAAAACAAACGAAAACAAAGCGTATATAAGAATATATGAGAGTGAATGAGTGGTGAGAGAGCTGTCGAACCACTTATTCTCATATGAAATATATGAGAGATTTTCACAATTTTTAGGCACAACTAGTGTTGAAGTGAATTGATATGAACGAGACATTGGATAACCTCTACACCAGATCTGGTTCTTCCACTCCTCACTCTCTTGTCTATTGAGTCACTTCTTTCGCATTCAAACAAATCATTATTCAATTTAAGTTTAATTCACATTTTCAAACATAACTTGTTTTGCAGTCAAAAATCATTTGACAAAATAAAAAGTCATCAAAAAATAAAATCAAAATTGCAGACAAAATATATGACAAAATAACGTTTAAAACATTATTTTATCACTTCATTGAACACAAAGTTTAAATTTAATTTGACATTTCATTTAAAATGCAATTAAACGCTAAAAACTGTTTAAAACACTTGAAGAAAAATATTTCAAAATTCACCGTAAAATAAATGTTTGAAATATTTCACAGATTTAATTGATTGCAAAGGAATTACATTCGCATATATTTGAGGCGACCGTAGATTAACATAGAGTAAATCATTTCCCAAAACTAACATAAAAATACCTAATATTATGCAACACTTGTCGTCATTTAGTAATTTAATTACACATTAATTCATATTAAATATCATTTCTATTCATCTCTTTTTGGGAAATTTTTGCCATAAGAGGAAAATTTTAATCAAATAACATGTCATGAGTTGTGTGTCTATAGAGGAGATGACATTTGATTTGAATGTCGATTATATTTAATTAATGACTACCTTTTGTCTTAACAATACAATTACATAATATTATAATTCATTCACACATTAACCACACATTGAAAGTCACCACTAAATGACACCTATTTTTGGCATTTTATAAATAGTCATCACTTTATTAAATGGCTTACAATAGGGGGTAAACATCTCACCAACACTTCGCTAATCCATACAATAATCAATATATAAATGGCATAACAAATGTGTAAACAGTAATAATAGTGTCAAACATAACAATTATGGTAACAAATAATAACACAATTACCGGTTAGGGTTGGAGTACCGGGAGTTTGAATGTCCAAAATAGTTGGGATTTTGGTTAAAGTTTCGGTCCTATAATTGGGTTACAAATCAAATCAATACAAATATATATCAATTAAATGATTGCATCAATGAATGAGTGAATCGAGTGATCACTGGATCTGTTGTATCATTACTTCATCAGCCGTTTTGATGCGTTTGGCTGAGTGTCCGTCGTATGCAATCGCTGTCATCATTACTGCTCACGAGGAATGGTTCCAAACACCACCACAAGTAGAATATGAATGAATTGATATATAATTTAATATATATTAATAGTGTATATAAAGTGTTGATTATTGAATGAATGAGTGATTCAGTGATTGAATTGCATATCAATTATAAGAGCAATGATTGAGTGATTCAATGATTTAATGAATTATTTTTGTTGTAAAATACGAGACAAAAGAGAGGCACGACTTCAACCATTCAAACGCCCGGTTGTCCAACAATTACGTCATCGCAAACACACGACACCACTCTTTCGGACCCCTTCTGGACACTAACCATACTGATATGGTTAATTGCAATTCTGGTCACTGACCATGGTCATTTGGTCATTGTTATGTTCGTTATATTCATTTATTACATTTATTTTTATAATTTCATTGTTAATCTTATTTTAAATACTATGCAATAATTTTTATTATACTTTAATGATAGACATTTAAATTATGGTTAAAACCAAAGTTGATCGAACAAAATAACCATGGGCTAAATTGGTAGGTTGTTATTGTATTTAAATTATATTTTTGTAAATATTTTTTATATGCATGTGATATAAAAAACAAACAAAACACCTAAATATCCAAATATAACCCAAGACATTAGAATTGCTAACTTTATTTAAATTTATTTAGCATGGTTAAGTTTTAGCATTTACAAATGACTTTGTTTAAAAATATACGGTACTGTATAAAGGCCAATCATGCTAACTTTATGAAACTCGGTTTCTGGGGCCTAGGAATGTTAAATTAAATTATAAAATTAAATATTTCCATTAAATCTACCCAAAGACTAACATTTATCAGTTATCATAATACTAATACATCTACATGTACCATATTCCACTCACTATTTATCCATGCTTATCTTAAAACATGTAAAGTATGGATGTTTTCACTTAATTTTAATTTAATAATTTTTAGACTAACATTTAAGCCATAATATTAGTGTTTTCATACAAAATACTCATTGGTATTTTAAACTAAAGAAGTAAAATGATAACATTTAATATGAACTAGAAATACATTTATATTCAATTTTATTTAACCGGTATTTAATGTACTGTATTGTTTAAAAACTATTGATAAAAGTATTATTTGTGATATTAAATCACTCGTAAATAATAAAAATATGATTTTAGTGACAATTATTACAAATACCAGACATAGGTTTGTATGGAATGCTTTGGAACTGTTGTCTTAAAAGTTCCCAAATTGGGATCAATTATATTGAGAGGAATGTCATCATTGAGTCTATTGAGTGCAATGAGAACCGTTGCGTTGTCTGGCGTTTCAAATACAATTGTGTCCAATATTTGAGCGCCGCTTTCCGTTGCATTAATCCGTTGCGAATCCGGTGCCAAGAATTTGGTGAAATGTGCCAAAGAGTAATACATCGGTTGTTTATAATATTCCTCTGCAGTCGAGTTGATAATAATAGGCGCGTCCACAAAGTTTTTGGCCCAATTCGGACCTCCCTTCACATCCAGTGCTAGATTCCAGTCAATCCAACCCGTGGTATAGTGTAGTAAATCCTGTTATACAATATGATTATAATATAGATTTCATAGATTCTGCAATAGTTTGAAAAGGAATTTACGGTAATTATATCGTAGGCATAAGTCTCTGCGCGATCCCAATTGCCCAGCGATACCTTATCCTCTTGGAAAGGGTTTGATCCCTCACACGCTTCGGTTGACAATAGAAACACATTTGGGAACTCTTCGTACGTTTTGTCCAAATCTGTCGGCGGACTCATTGCATTCAAATACCAATGAAAGCCTATTCCCGACACGTATTGAGCGCTCAAACTGTTGTTCAGTATAATATTTGCCCATTTGTTGAGAACGAGTCTTTGATCATCAAAAATAATAAGTTTCAATCTATCGACTCCATAGTTGGCCGCTTTCAGAGCTGGTCCCAGATCTTTGGCAATGAAATCTCTTTCCTGTTCGGCAGTAAATCCCATGCAATTGAATGCAAAGTTTGGTATCTCTCCATCATTTGGCTCATTTTGAACGGTCAGTCCCCACATCTCTATCCCATTCTCCTTATATGCGTCCAGAAATCTGATTTAAATCAATTTCATGTAAACAATGGCATCAAATTCTTAGGCTATCCTTACTTAACAAAATATTGAGCCCAAGCTTTATAATAGGGTCCGCCCGGAACTCCTTTAATACCACCCTTACCGGTGAGGTTATGATTATCCTTCATCCACGCGGGAGCACTCCATGGACTCCCAAACAATTGCAAATGTGGTCTCACATTGATTGCCATTTTTAATAACGGAATCTTTTAAAACAATTATATTTTAAGACTTATAACTGTATTGCTGTTCATGTTATATTATTTAGTACTTTATAGTGCAAGTCCTCAGCGGTTAGATTAAACTTTTTAAGTTCTAGATCTTCTTCCTCTTCATCGTCAATATCATCATAAGAGTAACCTCTGGTCGAGAAATCACTTCCGGCTATTGGTATTCTTCCCATAGTATATGACAAACCATTTTGTGAATAATAATCATTAATTATTTGTTGAGATAACTGTGGCTTTAAACTCAATATATTGATAGCGGCCGCGTCTGTGAAGGCGCCCCCAAAGCCCACAATCTTTTGATAGGTTTTATTCCGATTGATTGTAACCGTCTTTCCGTCGCCTCTCAACTCATTGTTGTATTCATTTGTAAATTTAAAGATTTGTTTTTCAAATCGATGACCACTTTTGCCGCTTTCATAACGTGTTATAATTCCGGTCGACGTCTTAATGATGTGATCGAAAGTATCGCAATGAGTGGCGTTACAAACACATACTGTCCCTCCCTTACCGTAATCTCGTTGAACGCATACATTGTCCGCATTCACTGCTCAATAGGTATAGTAATTGTTTTAAATACTTTAATTTACTTGACTTTATGCGCAAATTCTTACCTAAATTGAATGCAAATATCGTAAAGAATGCCAATATTTGATGCATATTTCCAAAACACGTTTACTTTCACTAAACTTATTGGACTTTTTTGTTTATACAGTGTATTGAATGTATTACTGAAAACAACTGATAGAATAAAGTTTAGTAAATATAAGGAAATGATTTATCAATTATTTATTTAAAATTGTGGTCTAATTATTGATAGAAAAACTATATTGAAAAACTTATAAACTTATAGAGTGTTCAATAATCAACTGTGAAGTGAAAAATATATGTGTTGTTCACTAAATATTCTCAACAAGATAGATTATATATTATTAAAAGAGTGTGATAGCGCCTATTTGTATTATCATGGTCAATTTAGTGGTGATAACGATTAGTTAAATGTCATACAATTGTATTCAAACCAAATAAAACTTAATACGGGATACAATTCATTGAAATCTAAGCCATTGTACTGTTGTTTACGTATTGCCCGTAATCTCACGTGTAGTCTATGTTTACGATTGAATTTCACGTGTTTTGCAAACAATTAGTTAATTATTTGGCAATAATTGCCACCAAAACAGACATTGAGTGCCAATCAGTGGTGAAGTGAACCACAAATGTCTTTGTCGTGGAAATCACTGGCAGTGAAGAAAGCGATCACTCGAGTGGTTCGGAAGCGCTTGAAGTTTGTGTCGATGACAGCCGTCCAGTCGGCAGTCATTCCTCTGTTTATCGCCAACAAAGACTGTGCCGTCGAAGCCGTGACCGGAAGTGGGAAGACATTGGCGTTTGTCATCCCTATTGTCCACATTTTGTTGAGCAAAGCGGAGAAGGAGGCCATCGATGACACCGATGTCGGCGCTATTATCCTGAGTCCCACTCGAGAGTTGGCTCAACAGACATATCAAGTGCTCAACCATTTCGTTGTCGACAACCCATCGATTCCGTTGAAAGCGATGCTATTAATCGGCGGAACAAATGTCGGACAAGACATCGAGAGGTATATGTCTTGTGGCGCCCATATTATCGTCTCAACTCCGGGCCGTCTTTGCGGTCTTTTCTCCAAATGCGATCACTTTGCGAGTCGTGTCCGCAAATGTCTGGAAGTGTTTGTCTTAGACGAGGCCGACCTCATCCTTAACCTCGGCTTCGAAACCGCTTTAAATGAAATTTTGTCATATTTGCCGAAACAGCGAAGAACTGGTCTCTTCTCCGCCACTCAGACCAAGAAATTGGATCATTTGATTAGAGCTGGTCTTAGAAATCCAGTCAAAGTGGAGATCAAAGAGAAATATAGCGATCCGTCGACCGCTGATGAATGCCTTCAAATGCCACAAACCCTTCACAACAGTTACGTGTGTCTCAAGTCATGCGATGAGAAATTGGCGTTTATTATAGAGTTTGTGAGACGAGATCTGAGCGCCAAATACCTGGTCTTCACGTCGACCTGCGCTCAAGTGAACTACTTTTCTAAACCCATCAATAAATTCATTCAACAAAAGGATAAAAGTTTTGTTACATTGAAAATCCACAGAAAATTACAGAAAAATCGACAAAAAATTTTCAATGAGTTTCGTGAGAGTAAAAGCGGTCTATTGTTTTGCACGGATGTCATGAGTAGAGGCGTTGATATACCGCAAGTGGATTGGGTTTTGCACATGGATTTGCCCAATACTATTGAGGACTACGTCCACCGGTGCGGCCGAAGTGCACACCAAATGGGAGTGAATGGCAATTCACTGCTCATTGCTCTGCCAAACGAAACTGAATTCATTGATTTGTGTCAATCAAAGGGAATAGATGTGAATCCATTTGATACCAAACTTACTATCGATGATAACCTCAAACAGAGTATCATTGAGTCGATGAAACGTGAGGCCAGAAGTGACCAAAACTATTACGAGTTAGGAATGCAATCGTTTGTCGCATTTATTCGCACTTATAGTTCAAAACACTGTATGTCTAATATATTGTACAAGAAGTTAGATATCAATGATTTGGCCAATGGTTACGCTTTGCTTAAAATACCAGTTATGCCAGAATTAAAACACAGACCCAGAGGTAAAACAGTATTTAATACGAGTGCTGATGACATACAAATTGCCAAGAATTTCAAGAGAGAAAGCTTTTTGGCAAAAGACCCGTCGGATGTATACGAGAGAAAACCATTGACTAAAACCGTCTCAAAGAAGGTATCGCTCATTAAGAAGTGTAAACTGAAAGGAAAGCGCAAAAAGCAATTTATCGATGAATTAGATATACAAGAGTTGGCCGAAGACTCCAAAATGGTTAAGAAACTCAAGAAAGGAATAATCACTTCCCAACAGTTTGACCAACACTTTGGCCTTTAATGAGTGCAAAATCTTTGTTGAAAAAATTATTTATTTCAAAATCAATTGACTTTTAATTGTAGTTGTTTTCTAAATAAATATATAAATTGTTAATAAACAGTAAATTTGTGTTCAGGAATCAGTTGAGGGATTGAAACCAAAGTCTGTTTAATAATTTCAAAAATGAAATAACTGTACAATTTTTCATTATAAACAAAATTCAATGTTCTTTAAACCTAAGAATTGATAGAAAACTTTAATTAAACATTTGTTAGTGGAGTGAAGCGCCGAAACCGAAGGTTCGCTTTAGACTTTCGAAGTAATAGTATTTCCAACCGTTTTCTGTGCGCTCGAAGTCATGCTTAGGAACGCCCGTCTGTTGGACAGTCACTTGCGTACAGTCGCTCTTCTGCTCCAAAGTGATGGTCACCTGCGAGTAGTGGTCGGGCGGCCACGCCTTGAAACGCCAGCTCTGTTTTATCACTTTATTGGTCTCTAATTCAGTGAATTTGCCGCTAATGTTGCCGTCGAAGAGCGAAAACACTCCGCCGACCGACGCGTTCATTACAACGTTAGCTCTGGTGAAGGCCTGAATCAACTCGATTTCGGTCAAAGACCGGTAGAACTCCTCTGCCGTACACTTGAGCTCTTCAGTTATCTTCAGTGAAGTCGTCTCAAACTTGCCATCAATTGGTTTAGCAGTGAAACCATTAACCGAAGAAACCGAAGAATTTTGGACCACTTTTGTCACGGGTTGTGGTTTAGTCTGACCTTCAGTTTGGAAAGCATTGATGTTTCCGCCGGACGTTTGTTTCGATGGTTTGATCATATCTTTGGCGAACTCATCCCTCAAACATGTGATATACGTGTGCATCTGTTTCTGAATCAGTTCTGTGCCCTTCTTTCGCATCACATCCTTAAGTATCTCTGAATTAAACTCATCAGAAGAATCGACCGACACTTCGACCACAATCTCATCGGCGCTGTTCTCTTCGCTCAGATTCGGTATCTCAAAGGTTCCCTTCACTTCGTCATCGGATCCGTTGAGTCTTCCCTTCCACTCGCATTTGATGACCCATTCGTAGAAAAAGATGAGTTTTCCCTTCCGATTGTTGGCCACCGCTTCGCCTTCAATGGACTCAACCGCAGAGACGCGACACAAACCGACGCCCGACTCGTCGACCTCCAGAGCAGACAACAGTTGTGTTAACTTCTCTTTAGACCAATTCGAGGCATTCTTCTCAGTCCTAAACAGACAACACAGCCATCAATAGTATTCAATACTGTGTGGGATCAGCTGTTCACACATACCAGTGCCAGTTGTTAACATTGGTCGCGTCGGGTCTCTCCTCGACTATCCATCGGGGATCTCCTTCACCCCATTTGGCCATCACTTACCACTTCCTATACCTCTTCGGCAGCACTAAAACAAGTGTCGAAATGATTTCTTGTGGACCGAAACGAGTCTATCGTCTCAATCGCAGCCAATACTCGGGTTTTCGGACACCAATTGAGTGTCAAATGATTGTTTGGATTGTAATTAAAACAACTTTTGATTCAAATATGGATTTAAACGTAAATTAAGGCTAAATTCAAACGAAATGATCGCTAAATGAATCTCACGTTTGGAGACAAACACTGTATTCAACGGGAAATCTGGAAATTTCTATCTATAATCCCTTCACATATAACGTGACACACAATTCAAGGGCAGGATTCGCGCAAATGTGAGGTCACTGTTGAGCGCAACACATATGGGGTTCTGTTTTAATGCGTTAAATCATTACGTGATTTATTATTTGAAGCCAAACGTGCAGTGAATGCGGGGATCGAGAAAATTCGACACAAATTTAAACGAGTAATTCACAAACAATGTGACGAATTGGATGTGTGGGGGGAGTGGGGGTTGGGGTGACATCTGCCACACATTTATGACACCAAAAGTTCTTAGCCTTGAATTGAATGAACATTTGATCCAAAGAGCGGTGCAATCAGTGATTGCCTGCAAAACCGATGACAACAACTTCAATGCCATCAATGCGTTGATTAGCCATTCATTAGACACTCTTTGGTACATATCATATGATAATACAGGCGTTCATTTGATCCGACCATTAGTTTGCGAACCGATCGACAAAAGTATTGACAATAAAAATGCATTTCTTAAGCAAATTAGCCCTCAATTCAAGCGTTTCATCAAAAGTACAATATTTGAGATATTTTTCGTCAAATGTGGTACAGATTTGAGACAAATTATTGCATAATATCTGTTATTAACTATCAATTGATTCCCTATTCAGAGGACAACCAAACTCTTCATTAATGGCCAGTTTGTGGAGTCGAAGACCAATGAATGGATTGATCTGAAAAATCCCGTAAATTATAATACATTTGTTTTGCAAACTTATGGAAAACTTATATTGGATTCAGTGATTGACTGATTGGATGTTTTCAGGCAACCAATGAATTGGTTACAAGAGTTCCGAAGAGCACCGACGCCGAGATGGAGGCGGCCGTCAGTGCAGCCGATAACGCGTTTAAGACGTGGTCAAAGACATCGGTGTTGACCAGACAGCAGACAATGTTTAAACTCCAGGCACTTATCAAACAAAATTTGGTTAGTTTTGAGACATTATCGGCCACTTTGTGCCTATTTTTAGCTTATTTTTGGGTCAATTGTCTGTTTAGAAACGACTGACGGATAGTATTACTGAAGAACAGGGAAAGACCACAATAGACGCCGAGGGAGACGTGTTTCGTGGCCTTCAAGTGGTTGAACACGCGTGTAGTGTGACATCACTTCTGTTGGGAGAGACAATGCCATCGATTGCCAAAGATATGGACTCGTATTCGTTGCGACTGCCATTAGGAGTCTGTGCCGGTATTGCTTGCGATGCGTGTCTATGATATTACATGATCTCTGATACCAAATCTGGTCCCAAATAAGGCATAACTCCATTCAATTTCCCGGCAATGATCCCAACATTTGTTTTGCAAACTTATGGAAAACTTATATTGGATTCAGTGATTGACTGATTGGATGTTTTCAGGCAACCAATGAATTGGTTACAAGAGTTCCGAAGAGCACCGACGCCGAGATGGAGGCGGCGGTCAGTGCAGCCGATAATGCGTTTAAGACGTGGTCAAAGACATCGGTGTTGACGAGACAGCAGACAATGTTTAAACTCCAGGCACTTATCAAACAAAATATGGTTAGTTTTGAGACATTATCCGCCACTTTGTGCCTATTTTTAGCTTATTTTTGGGTCAATTGTCTGTTTAGAAACGACTGACGGATAGTATTACTGAAGAACAGGGAAAGACGACAATAGACGCCGAGGGAGACGTGTTTCGTGGCCTTCAAGTGGTTGAACACGCGTGTAGTGTGACATCACTTCTGTTGGGAGAGACAATGCCATCGATTGCCAAAGATATGGACTCGTATTCGCTGCGACTGCCATTAGGAGTCTGTGCCGGTATTGCTTGCGATGCGTGTCTATGATATTACATGATCTCTGATACCAAATCTGGTCCCAAATAAGGCATAACTCCATTCAATTTCCCGGCAATGATCCCGCTTTGGATGTTTCCGATAGCACTGGTCAGTGGCAACACATATGTGCTGAAGCCCTCAGAGCGAGATCCCGGCGCCGCTATGATCTTCATGGAAATGCTGGAAGAGGCGGGAGTGCCTCCGGGTGTTGTCAATGTAATCCATGGTCAGCACAAAGCGGTGGATTTTATTTGCGACCACCCGAAGATTCAGGCCATCTCTTTTGTCGGCTCAGACACCGCCGGTAAATACATATACGCGAGGGGTTCGGCCAATGGGAAGAGAGTCCAATCAAATATGGGCGCCAAGAATCACGGCGTGATTATGCCCGACGCCAACAAAGACCACGCGCTCAACCAATTAGCGGGCGCTGCGTTCGGAGCGGCCGGTCAGCGGTGTATGGCTCTGTCGACCGCTGTATTTGTCGGCGAAACCAAAGAATGGATCAATGATTTGGTGGAAAAGGCAAAGAAATTGAAAGTAAACGCCGGACACATACCGAA